ACACACACACACACACACACACACACACACACACACAAATGTCATTGTAATAATAAATAAATGTTCCTTCATCTGCATTTATATTAGATTTTTGGTTTTGTTTTTAGCTTTAATAAAAAAAAGGTGAGAAAATAATACAAAATTGCAGTTGGTCGATTTAATTGTAAAAAAAATGGACTCAAAAAAAAATCAAAATCAGTACATCGCTAATTGATCTTTCAACAACACTATCACTGTATACATGTGAATGTCTACATTAATGCCAAGTCCCACACATGAATGCATCGTTGCGAAGTGTCGCAGTTGTCATTTACCCTGAGACTATTGCAGTAATTGGCCCTCCAGTGGAACCGCTGCTGCTGTAAGCGAATTTCACAGGCCAGTGGATTCACCACACCTCAGCGGACACCAAACCAGAGCGTTCAGTTATTCGACCCTCATTCTCACTCTTTCATGCTCGCTTTCGAGGGATCTCCTCCACGCATCGGCTCCGTCTCTCATTCTCCCCTTCATTATTTCCCTCATTGTCAAGTCGCGCAGAGAAGGGTTTGATGAACAGCTATTGGAGCATGTGTTTATACTCCAAGTGTCAATGTATTTAAATAATCGCATTTAATCATCTATGGTTGTGCACATGATTGTGTTTACCAATGTTCTTGGTTCCTTTCACAAACTGCTGCAGCTAATAATGTTTTAGGGAGGAAAAAAATTAAGCAAAAAATTTATTTTTGATTTCTTAATTATTTTAAGAACTTTCACATGATCATGCATGCACAAATTTTTGTATTTGATAAATAAAAAATATTCTTAAACAAAAATATTTATTCTATGCATTATTACTGTACACCAAGCCTAAAATTAAAAGACTAAATTGTAAATCTAAAATGAAATATTTAAATCTTAAACGATGTTTTAAATGATCACTTTGATGCCTTTTTGATTTCAAAGGTTAATATATTATGACGTTTTAATATTATGTTAGTTTTAGTTTGGTTATATTAGTGTTATGATAAAATATTTAAATGATTACATTATATCAATATATTAGATATAATGATTAAACAATTATACAATTAACAATTAAATGAATAAATTATATTATAAACTTATATAAAATACATTCAATCATTTTCTTTTTGGCTCAGTCTTTAATAATTTATTCATAATACTAATATAACTGCATTAGAAATAATGTACTAATAATGTCATATGACATATTCATAGTATATTTTTTTTAATGAAGCTATATAGTATTATAATTAGATTATTGTTATATATTATTATTATATATATATAATATATATATATATATATATATTTTTTATATATATATATATATATATATATATATATATAATACTAGTATTATATAATACTAGTATTATATAATAATTAACATAATTATATGTAGAATTAAATTAATATATTATGTATAATACATTTTTAGCATTTAATTATTTAATCATAATTTTAATATAACTACATTAAAATAATATACTATTAATATAAAATTACATAACAATACTATATTTTTATTTAGTTATTAGAATTATGATTCAATAATTAAATAATAATAATAATAATAATTATTATTATTATTATTAATAATAATAATAATAATAATAATAATAATAATAATAATAATAATAATAATAGAGATTATAGTAAAAGTACAAATTAAATTATTACACTATTATTCTACGAAAAGTATTGGTATATAAAATTCATATGGTCAAATCATGTGTTTCTTTAATGCTAGATATAAACAATACAAAGAAAACATATTATTATTTAAATTTTAGATATGTATTGTGCATTTAATATATTATGTCATGTTAATAGTAATTATTTTAATGAAGTTAAATTAAATTCAAGTTAAATTATATTATGTATAATAATAAATCTAATTATTTAATCATAATTCTAGTACAGCTACATTAAAAGTAATATACTATTAATATAATATGAACAGTATATAGTTTTTTTATGTAAATAATTAAATAATAATATTGATAATAGTAAAAGTAGGGCGCCACAGTGGCGCAGTGGGTAGCACAATCGCCTCACAGCAAGAAGGTCACTGCTTTGAGCCTCGGCTGGGTCAGATGGCATTTCTGTGTGGAGTTTGCATGTTCTCCCTGTGTTCGCAAGGGTTTTCTCTGGGTGCTCCGGTTACCCCACAGTTCAAAGACATGCGGTACAGGTGAATTGGGTAAGCTTAATTGGCCATGTGAATAAGCGGGTGTGGATGTTGCCCAGTAATGGGTTGCAGCTGGAAGGGCATCCACTGCGTAAAACATGCTGGATAAGTTGGTGGTTCATTCCGCTGTGGCGACCCCAGATTAATAAAAAGACTAAGCCGAAAAGAAAATGAATGAATGAATAGTAAAAGTACAAATTAAATTATTACACTATTATTCTAAGAAAAATGTTGGTTTATAAAATTCACATGGTCCAATCATGTGTTTCTTTAATGTTAGATATTAACATTGCAAAGAAAACATATTATTATTTTATTTTTAAATAAAATATGTATAATGCAATATTAATTATTTCATTTTTTGACCCCACTCTATTGTTTTTCAATGTCAAAATCCTGTAAGTTTCCCAGCAAACATTAAAAGCTTTCATGTTGCCACAGTCGTCTGCTGCTTTACCTGCAAATACAAGAGCACATTCAGGTAGCTTTCTTCTAGGTAATATTTCAGACTTGTTGAGCTTTGACGGTAATTAATTTACGCTATACAAAGACTGCAAATGTCCCATCTGGATTTAATTTCTAAATAAATTACTGAGGTGTTTCTCCATTATTTACTGATAATTGAGCTTCTGTTTACTGCATTGTTGTGCCGGAGAATTGAACAAAGACACCTGTGCTTCAGATGGTTCAGCGCTGATAAATCACACAAAACAAAATCAAACCATTGTCTTGTTAAAGCAGCAGTGCTTTTAAGAAAATATAACAAGCCTAAGTGTCTGTAATGTAAAGTAACGTCTATTTCTTAATGCGGCAATAATTGATAAAGCGTTGTTATTAGTGGCAATGGTGGACATCCAGTAAATTACAGCAACAACTTTAATACTGAATAGCATTCAGTAGCAAATGGCATATACAGTTGAAGTCAGAATTATTAGCCCCCTTTAAGCTTTTATTTGTTTTTTAAATACTTCCCAAATGATGTTTAACAGAGCAAGAAAATGTTTACTGTGTGTCTGATAATATTTTTTCTTCCTGAGAAAGTCTTATTTGTTTTATTTCAGCTAGAATAAAATCAGTTTTTAATTTTTTAAAAGTTATTTTAAGGTCAAAATTATTAGCCCCTTTAAGCAATATATTTTCTCGATAGGCTACAGAACAAACCATCGTTAAACAAAACTTGCCTAATTACTCTAACCTGCATAGTTAACCTAATTAACTTAGTTAAGCCTATTAATGTCAACTTAAGCTGTATAGAAGTGTCTTGAAAAATATTTAGTCAAATATTATTTACTGTCATCATGTCAAAGATAAAATAAAGCAGTTATTAGAAATGAGTTATTAAGACTATTATGTTTAAAAGTGTGTTGAAAAAAAATTCCTTAAATTAAAATTTGGGAAAAAATAAAACAGGAGGGCTAATAATTTTAGACTTTCCTGAATTATTAGCCCCTTGTTTATTTATTCCCCAATTTCTGTTTAACAGAGAGAAATAGTTTAATTTAAATGCAATAAATTTAGACTATAATAAAGACCAGTCCACAAAAATAATCCAGTCCACAATTACTTTTTTATATTGAGAACATGTCATTTTGTGGATATTTTTTCATTTTTTAATTTGGCAATTAAGAGTTAAAATTCTGTAATTTTTAAAAACATTTATGAGTTTTTATCAGGACTAAGGTTGATTTACAGATTTATGAATGGAAAAAAGAAAAAAACATTAATCTGATACATTTTTACAGCAGTTAAATTCAGTGAATGTTTTCATCCTGAATATAAGAAAATGGTAGTCAATTTGAACAGTGCACAAGCGTTAATAAACAAACGTTTGTGTTCCACTGGGAACAACACTAAACTCATACACTGCATGGTTGAGTGTACAAGTATGTAAGTGCATGGTGTGTCATTTGGGATGCAACTATAGATTTTCGTTTAACTCTTCTGAATTTAGAACATCATTATCATTGTGTTGTCTAAAATCAATGTAAACAGCTCTCAAATATGACATCTTTTTGGTTATTGTGGCCCTCTGACATTTTTGCAACAAAAGACAGCAATTTCATATTAAATTTGGGTCAAATTGTCATTAGTTTACAGAACAAAAAGCAAAATTATGTTTTACGCAGATAATTAATGAAATCGTAAATTCAGAGAGTGCTCTCTTAATTTCTTCTTATTTAAGTGCCAGACTGTTCAATCAATATATATAGGCTGCTGTGATGAGCATCATATTTTATTCCAAAGCTCAAAGGCGCTCTGGTTAGCATCTGGAAAATCAATGCTTTTTTCAGCTCGCATGCTGCTGTGCTGAAATTCCCACACCAAAGAACCCCAGATCTGATCTTACACAGAGTGAAGCTGATTACAATAGATCTGCTCTTGTGCACTTACAGCAGCTGTAGGTGGTAGAAAGCCCACACACACACACACACACACATATGTATGCGCTCTAAACACACAAGCAGCGACCTAAGAGCTGCGCCAATCATGAATCACATTATCCTCACTTTGTAATCATGCAGTGATTACAAGCATTTCCAGTTGAGAACAGTAGAAATGCTTTTCAAAGAATATGTAATGACTGTGAAACTGCTTTTTTTTTTGATGACGAAGGCTGCTACATGTAGATTTTTAAAGGTTGTTAAATGATCCACTGAATTGTGTTTTGTCTTTTCAGAATCTGCTAATGCTCCTGCAGAACCTTCCTACAATACACTGGGGCAACGAAGAGGTGGGTTTGCTTCTAGCAGAGGCCTACAGACTCAAATACATGTTTGCCGACGCTCCAAGCCACTACAAGAGATGAGAAACTCCCTAAACCAGACCACAGCTTGACCCAGACCATGATCTGACTTAACAACGGGAACATCTATGTTTAATCTGACGGTGGAAATCGAGCTAACCAATTGTCTCCAATGACATCAAATTTTGGTCATCATCTCTTATAATTCACGAACAAAATGGATATATTGGGTGGAAAACAAATATCTTGAGCAAAATGTGAGCAGATCAAACTCAAAACA